GTGATTGCAGACTAGCTCGCTTGACTTTGGGCTTGTTCTTTCTCCTCTCTGGGGCTCAGTTTCTTCATCTGTGAAATGAGGAACTATAGTGCCTGCTTCTGAGGGTTGGCTGAGCTTGTGTGTAAAGCACTCAACCCTGGGCCTGGCACATAGCAGGGCTCACTAGATGGGCCATATTAACTGCCTACTCCAAGGCTGGAGGGTGTTGTAGGGAAAATAGTCAGAAAATACTCTCCAGATGCAAGGTGGCTTTAATATGTCAGGATGTGGAAGGCAGAGAGAAGCCTCGGGGTCTGGGATCTTCCGTAGGGGATGAGTATTTTTTCCTGGAATCCCTGCCCTGTTGCTACATCACTACCCTGACCATTTGCCCAGCCCAGCCCTACACGCTTCAGGTGAAAGCAGAGAGAGAGGGGGCGGGAGAGAAAAGCCCATCAAGCAGCAGGCGGAGCCTCCCTGCAGGAGTCTGGCCTGGCTGGAAGGGGAGGGGGCTGTGGGGCCAGGGACGTCAGATGCTAACAGCGCCCAGGGGACCCTTAAAGTCGCTGCGCTGCCAGGTGGGCAAGGGTGTCGGCAGAGGTCCCCTGCCTCCTCGGCTGCCTCCTGAAGCCGCCTGGGCTGCCCGTCCTGGGTACGCACCGTTGGAGCCTCCTGCCTGGTTTCTCATGCTTCTTTGTCTCTTCTCTAAGCCAATTTCTTGCTCCTTCTTCTGTTTCTGCCTCTCTCTCTATCTATTTCTGTCCTCCCCAGGCCACATCATTGCCTTCTCTCATTCTGTCTTATCTCTTTACCTTTCTATTTCTCATTCTTTTTTCTCTGTAACTTTTTTTCTATCCCCTTTTTAGTCTCTCTTTTTTCTCTGCCTCTTTCATTCCCTGCCATTGGGTTTTCTCTGTGTCTCATTCTCAATTCCTAAATTGCAGCAAACAAGGGACAAAAGGACCCTGCAAAACGCCTTGGGGTAAGGTGGGCCCTGCCCTCCAAGGGCATTGACTGAGCCCACTCAAGCAGGATTGGTGAAGACGATGTCTAGGCTGGAGAGGGCTACTGTCTGTCTCCTCGGCTGGAGGGACAGAGCCCTGGCTTTGAAGTGGTGGCATCATCTCACTCCAGGGCCATGTCTGGATTAGCCACTGTCTGGGCATTTTTTCCCCTTGCCCAACCCACTCAGTCCCCTGGGGTGGAAAGGAAGGGGTGCTGGGCATCTGGACCAGAGCTGCATCCAGAGGTCTTTGCCAGGTTCCCAGGAGGCAGCATCCTCTGGGTTAGCACTGCTGGAGAACGCCCAGGGTCTGGTGCTCCCGTATCTCTCTACCTTTCTATTTCTCGTTCTTTTTTCTCTGTAACTCTTTCTTTCTGTCCCCTTTTTGGTCTCTCTTTTTTCTCTGCCTCTTTCATTCTCTGCCATTGGGTTTTCTCTGTGTCTCATTCTCAATTCCTAAATTGCAGCAAAGCGGGGACAAACCTACCCTGCTTCGTGCCTACCCCTTCCAGGCAGCTGGCTCTGATTGCACGAGGCAGACAGACCTGTGACCCCTCCATCCAGCTATGCCCCTGCTGCCTAGCACCGTGGGCCTGGCAGGCCTGCTCTTCTGGGCTGGCCAGGCAGTGAACGCCTTGATGATGCCTAATGCTACCCCGGCCCCAGCCCGGCCTGAGAGCACAGCTGTGCGGCTCCCGAGTGGCCTGGGGGTGCCCAGGTACCGCCGGAGGCGCCACATCTCTGTGAGAGACATGAATGCCTTACTGGATTATCACAACCACATCCGGGCCAGCGTGTACCCACCTGCTGCCAACATGGAATACATGGTGAGTTCCCGTGCCCGCCCCCCCACCCCCTGCAGTGCCCCTTCTGGCAAATGCAGCCAACTCATCTTGGCCTAGAATGACTGGCTTTTAAGAGCTGGACCACTTGTCTGCCTGGCCCCACTAGCCAGTATCTGGGTGTCGACCTGTGGAAAGGGCAGGAGTTAATCTGCCCATTTTACAGATGAGGAAACTAAGGAAGTTACACAGCTCTTCCCGTGAGTCAGGGGCATGGGACTACTATGTAAGGGACGCCTTTGTGCACCAGGCACTGTACGTGAGTATCATCTCCATTTTCCAGAGGAAGAAACTGAGACTCAGAGAATTAATTTGCCCAAGGTCACCCAGCCAGGATTTCAAACCAGGTCTGCCTGCTGCCACCTGGCATCACCACAACAGTTAACCATCATAATCCCCTACCCAAGAATTTTGGCTCCCCACACTGGGGACCTGCACGGGGGTGTGTGGCTGGTACTTTCCATGCTATTGTCTCTTTGCCCTAAGGATTTGACTGACACACCCACACCATCCTCCACAAGCCCCTGGAGGCAGGCTTGGAGCAGTGGGGACAGGTACTGGGGAATCTCAGGCTGAGGAAAACCAGCAGCTGACCAGCAGAGGAAGCTGGGATGTCTCCCCTCAAAGAGGCAGGGCTGGTGGCTCTCACTCCAGCCCCCAAGAAGTCAGAGGAGGGCACCAACCTCTTTCTTATAGCTCCTCCCCTAGGGCCATTGTCCAAAATCAGCCTAGAGGGATGGGTTTCCAGCCCACCCAGAGATGTCTTTAGGGAGTTTGCCAGTCTGCTCCCTGAAAGACCAACACATGCCACTCGATAGCCTGAAAACTTAACTTTTTCATCGTATCCATTGACTTATCCTTGGAGTACACTTGGAACCAGGCACCGTGCTAAGCCTTATGGACACTGCTGGGAGCAGAATGGGCAAGGCTCCTTCCTTCATGGAGCTGACACTTTAGTGGGAGTAAGAAAACAAGCATCAACAACAAGATAGTAATATATATAAGGTAACGTGAGGTGGCAATACGGTGTTGGGAGGGGTGGGGGGAATAGGAGCTGGGACGGTAGGCAGCTAGAACACAGGGGAGCCATTGACTTGTTCATTCATTTGTTAGCACCTAGAACGCCCTCCATTTTTCAAACAAATGGCACATTGATTGAGCACCTGTTGTGTGTGTGTGGCACCTGCCCCAACAGCTGTTTAATGACTGCAGGCGTCATGGAGCAGAAAGGGTTAGATGTTTCACCAGGGACTCCAGGGAGGGCATGAACATGTAGGTTTCATGTTTAGCCTGCTCCTCCCCTCAGTTTACCCCAATGTAGCATGAGGGAAGCATTCCTCTGCTCTCCCTAAAAGACTAGGCCAGACGGCTGGGTGCGGTGGCTCACGCCAGTAATCCCAGCACTTTGGGAGGCCAAGGCGGGTGGATCACCTGAGATCACGAGTTCCAGACCAGCCTGGCCAACATGGTGAAACCCAGTCTCTACTAAAAATACAAAAATTAGCTGGTGTGGTGATGGGCGCCTGTAATCCCAAGCTACTTGAGAGGTGGAGGCAGGAGAATCGCTTGAACCTGGGAGGCAGAGGTTGCAGCGAGCCGAGATCCTGCCAGCCTGGGTGAAACTCTATCTAAAAAAAAAAAAAAAAAAAAAAAAGATTGGGCCAGACAACCCCGGGAAGGTACCTGGACCCCTCTTTCGATGCCCCATTTCTCCCTCCCTAGCTGACTTCTACTCACAGAACAGGCTGTCCAACTCAACAGCCTTTGTCCCAGCAGCCCTTCTCTCACTGCCCCAAGAAAGTTTGGCTCCCATTTCTCATTCTCACACCGACCAGGACTATAATGATCAGCGACTTGTTGAAGGCCTTGTTGCCTTGCTACCCTGAGTCCTCAGTGCCTAGAGATGTTGTGTTTGATATTTGATGAGTGAACAAATCCTATCTCAGAGAATCCCAGGAAGTCAGAGCTGGAAGGGAACTCGTATTTTATTGACATATTTTCCGGTGATAAAACTTGGGGAGTTCATACATTGGAAGGTTATAAAACTGTTAAGGAAGATGAGGAGGGCATTTACTATGTACTGATGGGGAATAATCCCTAAGACGAAAGAGCAAGGTGCAGAATAGAATGCTGCCATTTGCATATGTGTGTGTGTGTGTGTGTGTGTGTGTGTGTCTATATAGTGAGAGCTGCTTGTACAGGTACAGAATATATACCTGTATACAGAGGACACAAGAAGCAGTGGTGACTGCCTCTTGGGATGGCATGCAGGGTGGTGGGGTTGGGGGACAAGGATAGGAGAGAGATGAGACTTTCTACTGTTCCTCCTTGGATATCTATTTTTGTTGTTGTTGTTGTTGACACAGAATCTCGCTGTTGCCCAAGCTGGAGTGCAGTGGCACGATCTCAGCTCACTGTAACCTCTGCCTCCTGGGTTCAAGCAATTCTTGTGCCTCAGCCTCCCAACTAGCTGGGACCACTGGCACACGCCACCACGCCTGACTAATTTTTGTATTTTTTTTTTTAAGACAAAGTTTCACTCTTGTTGCCCAGGCTGCAGTACAATGGTACGGTCTCGGCTCACTGCAACCTCCATCTCCCAGGTTCAAGCGATTCTCCTGCCTCAGCCTCCCAAGTAGCTGGGATTATAAGTGCCCACCACCACACCCGGCTAATTTTTATATTTTTAGTAGAGCTAGGGTTTCACTATGTTGGCCAGGCTGGTCTCGAACGCCTGACCTCAGGTGATTCGCCCACCTCGGCCCTCCAAAGTGCTGGGATTACAGGTGTGAGTCACCATGCCTGGCCTAATTTTTGTATTTTTAGTAGAGAGGGGGTTTCTCCATGTTGGCCAGGATGGTCTCAAACTCCTGACCTCAAGTGATCTGCCTGCCTCAGCCTCCCAAAAGTGCTGAGATTACAGGCGTGAGCCATCATGCCCAGATGGATATCTTACATATTAAAATTATGCATATTTTCACAATTTAAAAAAGCCTTTGAATTAAACATTTTTAGTGTTAAAATAAACACATTTAGAAGATACTGCAAGGCCGGGTGCGATCCATCTGCTTCAGCCTCCCGAAGTGCCCTGTAATCCCAGCACTTTGGGAGGCTGCGGCAGGTGAATTGTTTGAGGCCAGGAGTTGGAGACCAGCCTGGGCAACATGGCAAAACCCTGTGTCTACAAAAATTAGCCAGGTGTGGTGGCACGCGCCTGCAGTCCCAGCTACTCAGGAGGCTGAGGTGGGAGGATGGCTGGAACCAGAAGGCAGAGGTTGCAGCGAGCTGAGATGGCGCCACTGCACTCCAGCTTGGGTGACAGAGTGAGATCCTGTCTCAAAAAAGAAAAGAAAAGAAAACAAGAAAGAAAGAAAAAGAAAATACTATAAATACAATTTAAGAATTAGTGATTTTCTCATCCTTCTGGGTTCAGTCACTTCCAGGGACTGCTGAGAACTCCTGTATGAACACCCTTGACCCTGCTCAGAGCAGAGCCCAAGCTCAGAGTCAAGAGATCTGGGTGTGGACCCCAGCTCTGGTATGGACTCACGGTTGCCCTTCAAGTCATCAGCAAGCTGAGCCTCAGTCTTCTACTTTGTCACGGGGGTTTGTTGTAGGGTTCCAGGGAGATGGGGGAGAACCGGCACCAGGTAAATGTGCATCTCTGGACACGGTTGTGATGATGGTGGCTATTCCCCTGGGGAATTTCATTGCCTTTCTTTCCCCAGGTCTGGGACAAGCGGCTGGCCAGGGCTGCCGAGGCCTGGGCCACCCAGTGCATCTGGGCACATGGGCCTTCACAGCTGATGAGATACGTGGGCCAGAACCTCTCCATCCATTCTGGCCAGTGAGTGACCCTCTGCCCTTCCTTCACTCAGTCATTCAACAAACGCTCATTGAACACTTACTCTGTACCAGGTGCTGCACTTGACACTGGGATACAGTGGTGAGCAAGGCAGACAAGCTCTCCACCTGCAGGGAGCCTGCATTCTAGTTAGGAGGGGCAGGCAAAACCCTAACAAAGTTGTGTATACATTGAATTGAGGCAAGTCTTGTTTTGAGAACAAACAAGTGCACAGATCGTTATGGAAAGTGAGGAGGGATTGGAAGACTCAGAAAATAGGATAAGGGGGCCGGGCACAGTGGCTCACACCTCTAATCCCAGCACGTTGGGAGACTGAGGTGGGCAGATCACTTCAGGTCAGTAGTTCAAGACCAGTCTGGCCAGCATGGTGAAACCCCACCTCTACTGAAAATGCAAAAATTAGCCCAGCATGGTGGCGCATGCCTGTAATCCCAGCTACTCGGGAGGCTGAGGCAGGAGAATCACTTGAACCCAGGAGGTGGAGGTTACAGTGAGCTGAGATTGCACCACTGCACTCCAGCCTGAGTGACAGAGTGAGACTGTGTCTCAAAAATAATAATAAATCAATAAAGTAAAATAAAAATAAGGGGATAAAATAAAATAAAGGTAAGTCTGAGAATGGCAAGCCCACCCTTCTGGCCTGACTTTCTCACCGCCATTCTGACTCCCAAGTCAGACTCTGGGGATTTTCTGATCTGGGTGGCCTTGGGAAGTTATTTCCACTTTCTAAACTTCTAAACCTTGGTGTCCCTGTTTCTAAAACAAAAGTGTTATCCTAGCTCAGTTCTTTCCAGACTTGTGGATTTCACAGGCCTATAAAACTGCAAAAAGACGCCTGTGAAACTGCTACAAAATTGTCAGATTTTTATTTTGCCAAATAAGGACGTTAGAAAAACAACTACCTTCCCATCTTCGCCATTCTGCCGTCACCCCGGGGAGAGTGGGAAAGAATTTAGACCAGTCTTTTCAAGTGAGCTCAGTGGAAATTCAAGGCCCTGTTTGCGTTTTTTTCATGTCCTTGACTGGTCACGACCAGCACCAGCCTCTGAGAGCCGTGAATGGTCGCTCAGAGCCCTACAGAGCAGACGTCGGGTGATGCCTCCATTTCACTTCTCCTCTCCCCTGCCAGTGAACTCTTCCTGCCAGACTCCACCCCTACCCATGGCCATCATTTGAGAGGCTCACAGAGAGAAAGAAAGCGGTGTTAGAGACGAAGCTGTGCTGTCATAAATTACGGATGTGCATTCTTCCAGATTTTCTCCCTCACTAGTCATTTATGTATATTTTTATGTATTTGTGCCTCTGTCAAATATGTGTGATAGAAAAAGCCCTCAAAGGCCAGGGGCGGTGGCTCATGCCTGTAACCCCAGCACTTTGGGAGGCCGAAGCGAGCGGATCACCTGCGGTCAGGAGTTCGAGACCAGCCTGGCCAACATGGTGAAACCCCGTCTGTACTAAAAATACAAGAATTAGCCAGGCGTGGTGGTGCACACCTGCAGTCCCAGCTACCTGGGAGGCTGAGGCACAAGAATTGCTTGAACCCAGAAGGCAGAGGTTGTAGTGAGCTGAGATCACACCACTGCACTCCAGCCTGGGCAACAGAGCAAGACTCCGTCTCAAAAAAAAGAGAAAAGGCCCTCAGGTCTCCCCAGATGGCTTTTCAGACTGCAGAGGGTATCTCAGGGTGTCACACTAGTATCTGCCTTCTCCTCACATCTCGGAGGCCTAGGAGATGGTCCAAGGAGCCCTTCCTTCCCTAAAATGCAAGCTCCCCTATCTGAGATGCACCTCCTGCCTGGCCCTCTGTATGACAGTAACACATATGCTTTGTTGAGGACTTACCATGTGCTAGGTACAGGGAGGCACTTCACAAGAGTTCCGAACATGCCTGTGAGGCAGGAGCCACCACCCTCCTGCTCCCAGATAGGAAACTGAGATGAAGGAAAGGAAGCAAAGTGACTCACCCAAGGTCACCAGCAAGTTGGCGGCCGAGCCACTTTTCCATCCTCTCACCCAGCTTCTTCCGTGTTCCCCGCCTCCCCAGGTACAGGTCCGTGGTGGATCTCATGAAGTCCTGGTCTGAGGAGAAGCGGCATTACTTGTTTCCCGCCCCGAGGGACTGTAACCCACACTGCCCCTGGCACTGCGATGGCCCCACCTGCTCCCACTATACCCAGGTACTCCTCCGTCAGGGCTGGGGGCCCTGGGATAGCACATCCTGCTGCCTTAGAAGAAAAGGAATGTGTGGAGCAGATATGAGAATGCAAACAAAGACCTTTATGAGCTTCTTTTCACCAAAGAAGCGTATTCCTGGAAAGTTGTGTGCACACTGAACTGAGGCGAATCATTTTTGTTTTTTGTTTGTTTGTTTGTTTTTTGAGACAGAGTCTCACTCTGTTGCTGAGGCTGGGGTGTAGTGGTGAGAGCTCGGCTCACTGCAACCTCCACCTCCTAGGTTCAAGCGAAACTCCGTCCCCACCCCCAAAATTAAAATAGTTATATATATATAAAGAAAGAAAGCGACTGGGTGCAGTGGCTCACGCTTATAATCCCAGTAACTTGAGAGGCTGAGATGGCAGGATTTCCTGAATGCAGGAGTTTGAGACCAGCCTAGGCAACACAGCAAGACCTCATTTCTAAAAACCTTTTTAAAAATGGTGAGGCTTGGCCAGGCGACGTGGCTCATGCCTGTAATCCCAGCACTTTGGGAGGCCAAGGGGGTGGATCACGAGGTCAGGAGATCGAGACCATCCTGGCTAACACGGTGAAACTCCATCTCTACTGAAAATACAAACAATTAGCCAGGCGTGGTGGCATGTGCCTGTAATCTCAGCTACTTGGGAGGCTGAGGCAGGATAATCACTTGAACCCAGGAGGCAGAGGTTGCAGTGAGCCAAGATCACACTACTGCACTCCAGCCTGGCCAACAGAGCGAGACTCTGTCTCAAAAAAAAAAAAAAAATAGGCTTGATGGTGCACACCTTTAGTCCAAACTACTTGGGAAGCTGAGACAGGAGGATCGCTTGAACCCAGGAGGTTGAGGTTGCGGTGAGCTATGATCCTATCACTGCAATCTAGCCTGGGTGACAGTGAGACCCACCTCTCTAAAAATAATAATTTAAAAAGGAAATGAATAGAAGAGTATAGAAAATATATTGGCTGTCCGGGTGTGGTGGCTGACACCTGCAATCGTAGCACTTTGGGAGGACGAGGTGGGCAGATCACCTGAGGTCAGGAGTTGAAGACCAGCCTGGCCAACATGATGAAACCCCATCTCTACTAAAAATCCAAAAAATTAACTAGGTGTGCTGGTGGGCACCTATAATCCCAGCTACTCGGGAGGCTGAGGCAGGAGAATCACTTGAAGCCAGGAGGCAGAGTTTGCAGTGAGCCACTGCACTCCAGTCTGGGCAACAGAGCAAGATTCTTTCTCAAAAAAAA